TAATAATAATAATAATATAATAATAATAATAATAATAATGATAATAAAGATAAAAATAAAGTCAATAATAATAATAATAATATAATGATACTACTACTACTACTACTAATAAAGAAAAAATGTCAATAACAATAAAAAAACAACTACTACATATCGGTAATTTTCTTTGTTATTTTTCCATTACTGAAGGCTGGACCATAAGACAATTGATAAAGTAATATTGTTACTCTTTGTGGTACCATGTTTTTTTTTTTTTTTTTTTTTTGTCCATTCCCTTTTTTGTATAATCGATAATAAAAAAAGAATAACAAAAAAAATAAATAAATAAATATAAAAAAAAATAAAAATATTAAAATAAAAAAATAAAATAAAATGATAAAAATAAAAATAAATAAATAAAATAAAATAAAATAAATAAATAAAAATGAATAAAAATATAAAAAATAAATAAAATGATAAAAAAAAAAAAAAAACAGTATTAAAACGTGTAATTCACAGTCTCTCACCTTCACACCCTCTCAAACACCCCGAATGTAGACCTCCAGCGCCCACTCTCTCACGCCCACACCCAAACACGCCCACTCAACCCTCACCCATGACCTTTGACCCAGCAGAGGAGCGTGGGGCCTGGACGAGCTGCGAGAAGCCCTCAGACAGGCGTGCGCAGACGAGGGCGAGGTCAGGTCACCCACCTACCCTGACCCTGGCGATGTGACGACCCCGGACTCCATTGATGGCTGGGGACCTGTGTGGACGCCTGCCTCTAGCATTGGCTCGGGTAAGGTGCTAAAACTGCTGTCACACGAGCACTTTTCCGCCAATTTTTGACAATTTTATCTTACATAAATATAAAAATTCTCGAATATAGCTGTTAAATTTGACTTTGCTTGGCTGAAAAAGTTGACGGAAAGGTTTTCAGACGGAAACGATCATTGTCGTCTGACTGGAAAATCGACAATTCGCTCAAAATGGACAAAATTCAGACATTTTTTTTTATTGACGGAAAAAGTGCTAGTTTGACAGCACCTTATAAGACTCTTCATTTTGGGCAATAAAAGATGCTGAGACTCTTAATGATAGGCAATAGATGGCAATTAAAGATACTGAAACTCTTAATGGTATGTATTAGATGGCAATTAAAGAGGATGAGACTCTTAATGGTAGGTAATAGATGGTAATTAAAGATGCTGACTTAATGGTAGGCAATAGATGGTAATTAAATATACTGAAACTCTTAATGGTATGTATTAGATGGCAATTAAAGAGGATGAGACTCTTAATGGTAGGCAATAGATGGTAATTAAAGATGCTGACTTAATGATAGGCAATAGATAGTAATCAAAGATGCTGACTTAATGGTAGGCAATAGATGCTAATTAAATATGCTGAGACTCTTAATGGTAGGCAATAAATGGTAATTACATATGCTGAGACTCATAATGGTAGGCAATTGAAGGTAACTAAAGATGAGATTCCAACCATACCAACGAGAGTACCACCCTCTTCCCCTCTCTCATACCAGGCGGCGGGTGCGGTCTGGGCGAGCTGCGGGTACGGGTGAGATACACCGTAAGAACGAGGCTCCTGAAGCTGATCATTCTCTCCGCTGACAACCTGCCACTGAGACTCGGGCCGGAGCCTCTCGACACGTATACAAAGGTCGGTTGTGAGTGAGACTGTTGTGTTGTGAAGAAGAAGAGCTGGTTGTTGTGTTGGCTCTGAGTGTTAAAGGAGGGAACGAGGTGTGTGTGTGTGTTCTGTCTTTTGTTCTTTGTGGTGTAATTGCTGTGGTGAGTTTGGTGTGTTGTGGTGTGTGGTATTGTGTTTGTTTTGGTTTTTGTGTGTATTGTATTGTATGTATGGTTATTCGTAAATATGAACGGATGGAGGGATTAATATAGATAAAGATATAGATATAGATAAATTCATTTTTAAGGGTAAATATATGTAAGTATATGGATAGATGGATAAATATAGATATAGATATAGATAAATTGACATATACGAGTACATATATGTATGGGTCTGTTCAAAGGGAGGTCCATGGCTGACTCTGTTTAATTTCAGAATTATACACGAATTCTTAACCATGCTAAAAAGTCTACAGGACCGAGTGAATGGTGAAGTGATTGGAGCTTGTAAATAACAATCGACAGGGCAAAAACTGTACACAATAAGGCGATGACAATTACTGTAGTGAGGAATTTTACTTATACCTCACTACACTCACCGTCAAATGAACCCTGATGGTGGTATGAGAAAAAAAAAGTTTAGGTAAATTAAAGCGTCCCCAGGCTGATTTCAGTAGCTAAATAACACGATTTTCGAAACGTCAACAAACACTGTGCCCTGTTTGTAAACACATCATAGGCCTACATTGAAGCTTTACGGTCATTCGAAACATGTACCGAATAAAACATCGGCGAGACTTTTTCGCCTCTGTTTAAAGGTGTAAAATATCAAACAAATTGTGCCTGTCTCGGGAATATACCAACAAGTTTATCATTTACGCAGAGGTTTTGAAGCAAGAATCGACCACAAATTCGCTGTAAGTGGTTCGCCAATAACGTGAAAATCGAAACTAATATTTACAAAGTTGAAAGTTTTTCGACTCTGCTCTATCGCACAATCCTGAGATGAGTAGACAACCTGTGGCATGTATCTGTTAAAAAGGTAGTACCATGGCTGGCTTTGTTTATATTCAGGGATACGCAAATTCTTCCCCAATCCTGAGAAAAATCTACAGAGCACCAAGAACGTTAAATTTTTACATTATCTTCAAGGTCCTGTTATCTCGAGCCTGGACACAATCTCCCTATCAGAATCCCTCCGTCACAAGAAGAAGAAGAAGAAGAAAAAAGATTCAAGGATCAAAATTATCTTACCTAAAGATCTAAATACCAACGTATCTTATAATCTGACAATCCACTATGGCAATAAATCTATAAAGCCGAGACAGACATTTGGAAAAAGCTAGAAATATGATCATAGCAGCGTATTTTAACCTAATATCCTTTTTTTCTTTTTATTTTCTTTGTTAAATTTCTGAATAAAAAAATTATTTACACAGATACACGCGATAAGGTCACTGCGTGTGTATGTCCGTGTTTGTGTATGTTTTAACAAATAAACAGACATATATACTACAGGTGGATGAACAGGTAAACCGAATATATCAGCAGATAGATAAACAGATAGAGAGAAACAAACCAAAAGATAACCAGATACACAGCCACCTAATCGAACTTCCTCCACCTCTAATATTTTTCCTTGGGTCTCCCCTCCACAGGCCGTAATGCTGCCCGAAAAACGCGTGAGATTCAACACCCGCGCCGTGTCCGCAGTCACCCACGCTATATTCAATGCCTCCTTCACCCACGCTTCCCGCCCGTCTCGCCTCGCCCACGCCTCTCTCAGGTTCTCTGTCTGCCAGGTATGTGTCTGCCTCTAGGATGGCGTGGGTCCTGCTGTCTAGTTTCGTCTGTCCTTTTTTATTTGGATATATATTTTGTCCCAGAATGAGAGAAGGATAAAGAGAATGCGAAATGTTTTTAATTGCAAATACGATACCTATACTAGTACATGATGTCCATCTAAGTCCATAGTCTGAATTTCTATAGCTATTTCTCTATCTATCTACATGATATCTAAGTCCATAGTCTTTTTATATCTATCTATCTATCTACTTTCTAATCCATTCCCTCTCTCTTTCCCTCTCTTTTCATACAATCCCCGTCCGCACTTTTTCCGCAGGTGACAGGATGCGGACGGCGGGTCGTGGTCGGCTACGCGGCGGTGCCCTTGTCCCAGGTGGGCTTCAGGGTAGGCCTATCCCACGACCTCGATACCGGGCCCCTCACACTCCACCTGCAGGAGAGTGCGCCGGACCAGCAGGTAAGACTGGCGGATATCATATGATGATAAAATTAATTGTATAGGGGATTGGTGATTCGAATAGCAAATCTTGGGCTAATGATCTAAAAACGTGGATTTTTGGTACTTATTTTTGTGTCTAGTTATAAGAGAAATTTAATGAATAAATTAAATTGATAATTAAATAAACTTGATTTTTTTTACATCGTACTCTTTGGAAAAACAAATTCATTTCTTTTCGCTAACTATAAGTTTGTTTGTTTTTAATACAAAAATGTATCTTTTTTTATACTCTTGAGAAATACGACATTTTGTCTCTTTATAACATATTCTTTAGAAAGACGAAATTTTGACTCCATTTAACATATTCTTCAAAAACACGAAATTTCGTCTTTTCATAACATACACTGTAGAAACACGAAATGTTGCCTCTTTACAACACACTCTTTGGAAACACGACTTTCCATTCGTTGAACTCAATTACAAGTACCCTTTCCTCTCTTTATTTCCCCTCGACAGGTGGGACTCGGTGGCCAGCTGCAGGTGGGTCTCAGCTGGACCTCAGAGCACAGCGACCTCACCATTAGCGTCCTGCACTTGGCTGGCCTTCAGTACGATAGTCAGCGCGATTCAGGTAAGAAGCAGGTGGTCGTTTTTCTGAAAGATAAATGGGTGAATGGAAGATTGATTGATAAATGGGTGAATGGAAGATTGATTGATAAAAATATTGATTAATGTGAATGGAAGATTGATTGATAAATGGGTGAATGGAAGATTGATTGATAAATGGGTGAATGGAAGATTGATAAATGGGTGAATGGAAGATTGATTGATAAATATTGGTGTATGGAATATAAGGAAAAAGTGTAAGGGAAGAGATTGAGTAGGTGAATGGAAAATTAATGGATAGATACTGATAGATGTTCAGAATTAAAACGGTGAAAAGGAGATGGATAGATGAATAGTAAATAGATAGATGGGAATAAGTATACATTTTAAGAATGCAAAAGAAAGGAGATATATAGATAAATATTAAGTAAATAGATGAATTCAGATATGCAGAATATAAAGAGTACGAAAAGAGACGAATAGTAGATGGAGAGACGAAACAAAGTAGACGATAAAAA